TGCCGTGCCCCCAGGGCGGCCGGATCGCGGCTCCCACTGGCTGCGGTTCGCTGCTCCAGGCCAATGAGAGCTGCTGGAAGCGGCGGCCAGTACATCCCTCAGCCCGCGCCGCTTCCAGCAGCTCCCATTGGCCTGGAGCAGCGAACCGCAGCCAGTGGGAGCCGCGATCAGCCGGACCTGTGGACACGGCAGATAAACAAACCGGCCCGGCCCGCCAGGGGCTTTCCCTACAAAAGCGGCGTCCCAAGTTTGGGAAACACTGATATAGGGCAATAAATCTTCATAATGCTATGAGAACCGCAATGAGGGAATCAGTTTTAAAACACTCTGATTATGAGGAGAATGTGACAGAAAGAGATTGTCGTAAGCATGAGAAGCAGCTTATTTTAAAGCTGTTGAACAGTTTTTTGTGGCACTCTCAAAACGGAGCAGAACTCTCCATCTCTTGTATGTTTATGAGACAGGCATCACTTTCCATCTTTACTAGTAAATCCACTTGGAACTGAGAGATGATGAAGACTGGTACTTATCACTGCTTTCTCAGCCAGCAGCTCCCTGAGAAGAAATCTGAGAGAGAGACTTCCCTAAGCATTTGAATTCCTCTTCCCGGCTACTTTTCCTGATGGTCATTTAGAAATATGCAGATAACTTTGGCTAAATCATAAATTATTTTTTAAGTTTATATGGAAGTTTGCCTATTGAGCATTCTGCCTCTAACCCTTTAAGGAGACAGATCGGGATAGTCAACTATATTGTTAGCTAGATGCAATACAAACAGTCAGTATTACAAGGCAGAAATGATTTAAAAATCAAACATAAGGGCTATATTTTTCATACTAAAATGTATCTGTATGCAAGCTCTTGTGTGTATCAGATTTAATTTACAGGGTTATGCATCTTCAGCTGAAAAGTGAGGAGGATAAGAACAAGAATATTCTTCCTTCTGGGATGTGAAATCCTCCATAAAAAGGGCACCTAGGAAACGGAATTTTGTGTCTGTATACAGGATGTTGATGATTTGTGTTGGGGTCCAGAAAGGAACCTAAAGAGTTAGGTGCTCAAGTCCCATTGAAAATCCCACCCTAGGTCTGTGCCTACAAAATACTTATATTTGTATTATGATTATTTACTTATTTGTAAAGCACCAGTGCTTGGTATATTCCAGGCAATTGCTGGATTTCCCCATGGATGCCATGATTCAGCAAGGTACTTAAGCATGTTCCTAAGTTTAAGCAGGTGAGTAGTCCCACTGAAGTCAATAGGGCTACTCACCCACTTAAAAGTTCTGCACATGCTTAAGTACCTTGCTGAGTCGGGCCCTAAGATTCTGATCCTGTGAGCACTTGTGCTCTTGCTTCTTTTTATAAAGTCATGGAGTTTAAGGCCAGAAGGGACACCAGCTCATCTAGTCTGACCTCCTGTATATTACAGTCTGCAAACACCACCCAGCACCCACACAACTAAACCTAACAACTGAAATGAGACCAAAGTTTTATTGCCCCCGGGAGACTAGACTATTATGTGCTGCAGGCAGAGAATAGGAGGGAGCAAGGTGCACCAGTGTCCAAGGCCCCTACAGTGGCAGGGAAATGATTAAGTGAGAGAGACCCAGATAATTTTGGTAAGTGACCCGGACCCAACGGCTTCAGAGGAAGGCAAAAATAACCCAACATGACTGCCAGTCTGACCTGGGGGGAAATTCCTTTCCAACCCTACACAGGGTGATCAGTTAGACCCTGAACATGTGAGTAAGAACCAGCCCGCCAAGCACCTGAGAGAGAGAATGCTTGGTGACAACACCTCAGAGCCCTGTCCAATATCCCATTTCCAGCTGTGTGGCCTTCAGAGGAAGGAGTTTAAAAAAACCCAAACATATCCAGACTTCATGGGGGGGAGGTAATCCCTTTCTGATCCCTGTAGGTGTCTGGCTGAAACCCTGAAGCATGAAGGTGAGTAGTCCCATTGAGACTGTTCACGTGTGTAAAGTTGAATATATGCATAAGTGTTGGTAGGATTGGGGGCCAAGTTGAGACTTGTATAGGTAGTAATAACAGTAAGGAGCTGGGTGGGGAGTGTTGACACTGCTCTTTTCCTAACTTGAATCACTGCTGTGAATGTCACTTGTGTGTTATATTTATTTTCCCATTAAACCCCACTATATTTTTTCTCCACAATTTAAATGATTAAAATATAAAATCAGTGCCATCTGTCCAGCTCCAACAGTGAAAAGTACAATAACACATTAGTCCACATCCCCACAATGTAAGATAAAAGTTTGGTAAAGAAGCAGGTTTCAGTTTCAAGTTTCCAAGATGTTTTTTTACAAACAAAAGTAGATGGTAGGAGAAGACTTTAGAAATAAATGGCAATGCCCCTCCTTTTGTGAATGTTTTATTATTATTTATTATAACAATAATTCCTAGCTCTTATATATAGCTTTTAATGAATAGCTCTCAAAGTGCTTTACAGAGGAGGTCTGCATCATTATTCCCATTTTATAGATGGGGAAACTGATGTACAGGTTGGTGAAGTGACTTGCCAAAGCTCAGTTGAAGATCTATTAATAATGACTTTCAGGTCTATAAATAAGCAGCATATTAAAAAATAACAACCAAACCCTTTTAACATTTATGCAGTCATTTAAACACTGAAGCCTGGTATGTTGACAGTAAATGGTGCGTGTGCTTTTTAAAATAGATCAGAGTTGCTCCTCCTCCATGACAGGTAATCTAAACACTGATTATATTGGGCATCAGGGAGTGCTGCATCTGACCAACCTCCAGGCGGTGGCCTCACCCCTATGAGTTACACATGATCCATGTTGATTAAATGGATAGACTCGTCGCTCTATTGTTCCTGGACTCTGACAGTAAATTCCCAGTTGTGAAGAATTGTTGCAAAAGAAGCCTTTAATTGCTGCTGCTTTTAGTTGAATCTCGATAAAGAATTCAAGTGACAAGTTGGGAGAGCACTCCCAAACTCTTGTAAGGCAGAGTGCATAGCGCTTGATCCTTCTCCTGCTGAAATCAGTGAAAACAAGATAGAAATATATAAGCATGGTCAGACGTTCTGTCCTGTTTCAAGAGCTAAGAACCCAGCACTGCAATGAACTGAGATGGAAGGGCACCACAGGCATTGCTGTGCACATGAGACAGCCACCTATCCTATATTGCTTCCGAAACGCCACCCCTAGAATTGCCACAACATATAGCTTCTGTGATTATCTAGGGCAGGTGTGAGCTGTGGACATGTGTGCTTATCCTTTTGGAGTTCATCAGCATGATACAGATTTATCAAACTCACGCTTGTGTGATGACCTAGAAACTCTACCTGAGGAAAACCTTTCACAATTCTTGCTTACAGAATGTATGGTAGAAGAGCTCTGAGCACACGCATGCAGGTCAGGACTAGAGCAGGGTGAAGAATACATTTTTTTGGTTTGCTGGCAACTCTGAAAAATAAAATTAAAAAACTAGTTTCCGGTCAAACTAAACCATTATTTTTTTTAATTGTCAAATTGGAAAGTTTGGGGGGAAATTTATGTTGGGTCAAATCAAACATGTTTTGAGAATTTTTATATTTATTTTTAAATACAAATTTGAAGGAAATCTCAAAAGGTTTTATTTTAAAACATCTCAAACAATTCAGTGAAACCACCCCAAATTTGCAAAATCTGCCTTTTTTGCCCCCTCTGACAGTTTCTCCCCAGCTCTAGTCAGAACAGAAGGGGCACCAGGGTTGTTCCCAGAGCTACAGAACTAGCAGGTTTGGCTTTACTTTTGCCTCCCAAGTTTTACTTTTGAATCTGGCAGCTGAACAAATTCCAAAATCTCTAAGTTTCATTTGAGCTCTGCCTGCATGCTGGGCTAATGCACTGTATGGGGATGTGGGTTCTAAAGCACAGACATACTGTACATTAATTAATCCAAGTAGACCCTGCTGGTTCCCGCTAAATGTTCCCTACTGCGCTTTAGCATAGTTTGAAATGCTGTATGAAACAGAACTAACAACGTTAAAGCATAGTAGGGAACATTTAGCACACACCAACAGGTTCTACACCGGGGTGGGCAAACTTTTTGGCCTGAGGGCCACATCTGGGTGGGGAAATTGCATGCAGGGCCATGAATGTAAGGCTGGGGCAGGGGGTTGGGGTGTGGGAGGGAGTGCGGGGTGTGGGAGGGTGTGCGGTGTGCAGGAAGGGGCTCAGGGCAAGGGGTTGGGGCAGAGGAGGGGTGCA